TTCTTAGCGAACACTTGCTCATTTGCTTTATCTTGATTGCTTATCTTTTTATTTAATCCTGCCTCGCATATTTGTGTAATGTGTTTTCCTTTCGTCATTTTATTTGTTCTTCTGGTTTTATACATATGTTTAACCATTTTTTTTTTATTAATTCACACATATATTTACCTCATTCCCATTTATAGTCCTAATTATTGCTTTGTCCTAATTCCTTCCTATATATTATATAGCTTGTATTATAATACTTTTGTGTTCTAAATTTTTTCACCCCCCAACTACAAGGTTGAGTAAATGTGTTGTATTTCCTTCTGTAAGGAATTTGTTTCTAAAAGATTAGTGATATTTGGTGGGCGGCCGGTACGTAGTTGATACGCACATATATGATATGATCTTTATAGTTTGCCACGCAAGGTCGATGGTACCTACTTACTCATACACTTCATAGTGGAAAATATAAGTGAAAGTGCCTACCTTTCTGTCTTCGGGTATGTTTTCGATCTACCACTATTTAATTATTAACGATAGGACAAAACCGAATGTAAAGTGGATGAAGCAAAGTTTTAGACATCTTGGTCTTTTCTTTGTTCATTTTGTTTCCACACCCATTCTCTAATATCAACAGAAAATTGTTCGTGGTATTTTTACCATATTTCTGACAGTCATAGAAGATTGTTTAGTTTTTGAATACTTAGATCAAATTTTAGCCAAGTAAGTAGATTCACAAGTAATTGGAAGAATGCAGAAAAGTATGGGTTAGTCACCACCAAATTATTATAGAATTTATTATTTGCATGTCATTATGAAGGGGTTTCTATTTAATGTGATTACTAACAAAAGCAGGTAGTAGATATAACCATAAATAAATAGTCCTTTGTTTTGGTCTATTTGTTTATGGTAGATACCTCTCGAAACTTACTCAAATATAAATGACTTTGTAATAAGCTTAAAAGGTTTTCTGCAATAATTTGTTGGCAACTATACTTCAGGTTATTACACAAGGAAACATTTACGACAGAAATGGTTTCAGAGGAAGAATCTCTTATTTTGCTAACTTACGATAGTGGTTTGTAACAACCTCAACTGAATAATTTTGTCCAACAAACAAAGCGTATCGTACTGATAATTTCCAACGTCTGGAACGAATGGAATACCCCAAGAACGAGGTAATTTATATTCACATACATGTATACACAGGTGTTTCTCTGCTATTTGAAAATTTTCTACAAAAAACTGTCCCTAAGCCAATTTTATTACATGTTGAGAATGTTTGTTAATAAAATGAAGGGCAATAGTAAATTAAATATATATATCTTTAAAAAGCTCACAAATTTTCCTCTTGGTTTTCGAGTTATGGACAATTTTATTCAAACCTGTGACAGAGGACTGTTGCCATTCAGGGGAATGTTTCTATAAAAAAAAAACAATTACTTTTGTTAAGTTTAATTTGGCAGTATTTTTGAGAATTTAATTTTATGACACTAATTTAGTCATGGTAAAATATAAAAGAACAAAAAACGTTATTTCTGAATTAATCTGATATGTTTAAATAATTTTATTTGAATAAGTATTAATATAAAAATAAGTCCAGTCCCCTGTGATTGATGAACCGGCACTGCAGGTTTTCTAGTGGTTCTTTTGACTGATTTTGTCGTTCCTGTGTTATGATAAAGATAACAAACTTTCGTTACACTTGAGTTTGTGGCGCCACCACCAGATTTCTTTGCTATTTTTCGATATATGCAACCTTTTTCACGAAAGGTAACTGTTTTGGTTCTCTTTCCTGGCCACCAGTTAACTCGTTTTGGGTTTCTGGGAGCCATATTTGTTAAATATCTTAATATAAATAAAATATCTTAATAACTAACTGTCACTAATAAATACTGAAAGTCAAACGAAACTGTACTAGACGATAGTGATTGGACGATTAAATCATGCCACTCGTCGTTGATTGAATATAAACTCTGGCGCGATACAGTGTTGCCATTCACAATTTTCACAATTATTTCACGCGCTCTTGATCGTGGACTAATGCGCACGCTAATGCGTATCGCCCCGCTTCGAAAGTCTTCTCATTGCCTTACAGTGGTGTATAAATATGAGCGATTTTCAGGTCAGGGAGGTCATTCCTTCACCGTCCTGTTGCTAGGGCTTTGTTCCTCTTCCAGTCTATTCTAGACTCCGACCCTAATTTTGGCCGCTGAACAATTCTGGTTTTATTTCTAATTTATTAAGATTACAACCAACTACGAAAGTCCACACCAAAATGGATTTGAAGGAGAAGATAATTAAGTGTGACGACTTACGCTCTCTGCAGAGGGTACGACGCAAGGATAGACATGCCGAAGGGACGACAGTTCTACGGAAAATAATGAAGTCATATGTCAAATGTTATATAGGGCATTGGTCTGAGTTGAACAAGTATTCAATTCTCTATGGATTCTGAAAAACTAGTTAAAAATGACATTAAATCAGAATTTAGGGGTGCGCCTGTGTAAGGGCACAGTAGTACTCGAACAAAAGAGATGGTTTAGGTACATTTATGAAATATAACAATTAATTTCTAATAAAGACAAATGTTTAACTTAAATTGAATAAAACAGTTAGTACTGTAGTAGAGAATACTTAATTTAATTCTTTTTGCACTTTGCACTATTTATGCTTCTTTCCTAATTAGAAGTTTTCAGTTTTGTTTCCTTGTTATAAAAAAGAAGTATTAAAAAAATTAAAAATATTGACTTTTGCTATAAAATCAAAATTTAAACAATGACGCCGTTATTTTAAACTGATACTTTTAACATAAATCCATATTTTCAAACAAAACCTTCAATTTTTTCAAGGATTCGTTCTGAAACGAATTACTTTATATTTTATTTTTTGTTTATTGGACAATTAGAATTGTGTTGAACTTTATTGCTAGAAAATTGTTACCACAAACAGCGTACTCGGCATTCTACAACTCTACTATACTGCTTCCATGTATTATGAATTAGTTCTCGTTAAATACATACGTATAAACGACCATATATAATAATTCAAAAACTGCATTTTTATAATAATAATATCCAGATAAATACATTATTTCTAAATTAAGTACTTTTCCTGTGAAGTTATCGGGTATACATAATATCCTTCCTATATTGGATAAATTAAAATGAATACTATTTTTTTTAAATATATTTCAAAACATGTAAAAAGTGGATACCTATAAAAATATTACATTAAAACTAAATAGCCAACATTTTTTCAAAACAAATTAGACAAATACATGATACGAGTTTTTTATAAAAAATTATCTAATTTATATCATACATATAAAGTTAGAACTAAAATTAAAAACAGATATTTTAGAATATATAAAGTAAAACTTCAAATGAAAAACCAAAAAGATATTTCTTAAAGTAAAATATGTACGTTCCAATATATATAATACCATAAGGAAGTAAGTTCCATATTTTATTTCAAAGAATTCAAAAAATAAACACTGTAATTAGTGTCATAGGAGAAGTTACATGATGTAATAGATTCTATTTCCACTGTCTACCAAACGGATAACACACTAGAAATAAGCCATACTTAAGAAAATGCACAAAGAAATTATTATTTATCTAAAATCTGAAACCTATAACCTTCCCAGTGGTATAGAGAAACTTTTGAGTAGTATTATTAAGATAGGTCACTAGAAAATGACACAACTCTAACTTGGAAGATAATTTATTTAAACTGAATCTGACAGTAGACATTTACATGTTATTTATGTTATTTCACAAACTGCAGTCTTGCCGAAATGATCTATACTATAAATATATTCTTAAATACTGCAAGGCAGTTCTCTTTAAAAAAGTTTGTTTAATATTATAATATTTATATAAGTCCAATGACATATTTTTCTACAAAAAATGTTATAGTTTTTCAGCTGTTAAAAAAGAATCTTTTGATAAAAAACATTTCTGGTATTAAAAATCTGTAAAAGACGAATAATATACCGAGATTTGAAAATATGTAAACGCCCAATAAGATTTTTTATGATAGATATAAGAAATAAAATATAATATATACATATAGAGTAATAATTACTTGAATTTAAAATTAATAAAAATCTCTTCATGATTCACTTTAGTGGAAAATTTAAAGGAAAAACATATAACAAAGACCCTTGTTTAATTTTATGGTGATTAAAAATAATGTTTTTAAAAACGTTTGTTCATCTGTGTTGCCATAAATAGTGCCAACAAGATGGGATTTTAATAACCAAAATAAAATAGTACTTTTATTTAAATAACCATGTTTTAAAATATTTGCGTTGTAAATGTGCATTTAAGCATTGTAGTACTCGGAAGAACCGCACATGTAAAAATAATTAATAATTGCCAGTTTCGCAGCCTTTTTCTAATAATAAAAAAACAATTACTGAGACAATATTGAACTCCTTTTATCATATATATATATATATATATATATATATATATATATATATATATATAATATATATATATACTGCTATTTTTGTAAAAGTTTAAATTCGTTATATTTTATTAGTAATCAAACTGCACAGAAATTATTAAAAATACAGCAATACTTCCATTTATGTGCTAAACCAAACTTATTCTTATTTTCAGGTAAATTTTAATCAATAATAATAATTTAAGATGTAGAATTTAAATTGTTAATGATAAACAACTTAAAGATTTGTATTTGGATTTTAAAAATACAATTTTGTACATAATAAATTTATTTTCATCCAATACACAAATGAATTATTTTTTCATCGCTTTTAAATCGGTAAAAATAATTTTGCAGTAATCGAACATACCAGCCTAGATCACGAAACATCTTTTTAAGACTTGATTGCCTAAAATGTCTAAAATTATTGCCTGTTTAAGTATTAACGTGATTAAATTGCTATAAATGTAATAATGGGAGCACCTTCAATATAAAAAATTCTTACATAATCGTATAATTCGACAAAGTAATTTTCCTGATTCTTTGAAGAATGAAGAACGGTAAATAAGGACAAAATCTACCAAAATTATATCTTGATTATATGTATATCAAATATGCTTAATTGTATAATCAAATAATAATTAAAATATAAATATATAAAATAAATCAAAAACATAATCAATAAAAATATGCTGAATTAATAAAATAAAATAAAGATAAAATATGCTTAATTGATTGATTGACTGATCAAGGTGCAGTGCGGTATTATTCGTCAAGACTAGGAATGATTTACGAAAATTTATTTACGAAAGTATTCGAAGATAAAGAGAAGCCTAAACGCCTGGACTCGCCTACGTGATTTTTAAACGTAGTTTATACGTCGATTTGGTTCTCTTAAGATAAATTCCGGTAATTTTGCTGGGCATTAAGTTGGCGTGCCAAAGATTTTCAACGTCATTTCTAGTTTTGACAAACTGTACCACGAGACACAGTGTCATCTCGCATGCAATCGATGAGTATGAATGCAAAACTGTTAGAAACCATATTTTCGACATTGATGCCTTTTTATAAAATTGATGTGCGTTCTGTATTGGTTGGATATGTCTATATATTTGAAATTAAATAATTTATTACAAGGAAAAAACTATGAAATCGGCAAACTTAAAACCGGTAGTTATAGAAGACGCTTAAATGCATATCTACAATTCACTTAACAAATAAATTGATTTAAAAAGAAATAATACTAGGCTTAGAGAAGAAAACCATAGTTTTCATGTAATACAGATTTGTCTAATATTGCATCACTTGACGGATTGTCTTTGAATATTCACATTTGATAAAAAGTTCACGATTAACAATATGTACAGTAAAAAATGCAGATTAAGAGCTAGCAAGTGGTCTCAATTAATATACAGTTGTTAGGCGCAGCCGAACGTTGAGACCCGGACGCGCTGCAATACTTTTTAAAAATTAGTAATGGAAAGTTAAGATTTTTGCAGGAAATCGGCTTTGGTGAGTTGGAGACATTTGCCGTTCCTGCATCGACTGGCTAAAGTAGTTTTTCGCCTACCGAACTAGATGTGCCTGAACTAAATGTCACGTCTTCGCCAGCCAGCAACTGTCAGTTATCATCTAATTCTACCATCACAAATTGTCTAAGTCTGTCTAAGTAGACTGAATACAACTCTACGTCGTTGTGGCCTGCACCCTACAACAAAGAACCACCTCATTAATAATTGTACGTGGATATTATTTTAGTAATACAGCTATTCTTAAATTGATTTACAGCACAAACTAGATATTAATAATTATTAAATACAATTACAATGTATATTGCTATATATTTAGAGTAAAATAAATATAGTAGTAACTAAATGACAAGGTACGTATAAAATGAAAGAAAAAACAGAAAGACAATTATCGGATGAACATCAGCCCGCTCGCTACGCTTCTGATGACTGATCCCCATCCTAACTGCGGGGTTTTGATGTCATCTAACATTCATATGATTCTAAACGTAACTAACGTCACGAAGAGTCTACGCACCGCTTTCGAGATAATAGAGTTATTGCAGAGTTAACAGTGCCTGCGTTGCACTATTTACACCGCGCTATTTCGACAGTTTTGACATATGGCTTACACATCACAAATAGAGATATTGCTTGAACTTATGCATACTTTGGTGCGTTATTTACGTTGTTTATGTTTTCTTTTCATTTGTTCGCAAATTATTGAAAATTGATCATGATTTAGAAGCACTTATTTTAGCAAATGCTCATGATGATGATGTAGGGTTCATCATTTTAAATAATATTGTGGCGAACATGTCTTACACCCACAAAATTAGGAATTTAATTTAGAAAACATGTTGGAAGCAGATTTAAAATTAAATTTTAGGTTTAGCAGACAAGATATTCCTACACTTGCAAGGGCTTTACGCCTACCAGATTTTATTCATACTAATACTAGAAACTCTGTTAGTGGTAAATGCATTTGCATTCTACATTACTTTTGAAATTAAGCCGTTATATTTTTGTTTTTAGGAGTGATGAGAATGCTCGCATATCCCAGCAGGCTTAAAGATCTTCAGCTTTTATTCAATTTGTCACCTCAATCATTATCTCAAATTATTAATTATATTTTTGCATTATGCTCCTCTCTGATGTACTCATTTTAGAAAATTATTACAAATAAACTCAAGACAAACAACATACATAACCTGAGAAAGAAAATAGCGCAACGAATACCGAGGTCGTATTTTCATTAACGCAGCGTAAGCCAAATATCACATCTGCGCATGCTCTACTGTCAAAATAACGCGTGCTGTAATACAGCAAGTGCAAAATTGACTCTGCAATATCTCTCTATTTTCAAGGTGTTTGAGCGGAGTGAGTAAATTTCCAGAGCGACTGAAGCGCCTATATATTATAGAGATAAATAAAATTGTATGAGAGATAAAAAAGAGAAGATACCTATAACTATTATCATGGGTGACTTAAATCAACCAGGAAACATAATAAGGAATCAAATTGATTACATAATGGTGAACAAGACATTCCGTAATGGATGCCTACCAGTTAAAAGGTACCCCGGTGCTTACGTATTGTCAGATCATGTTCCTGTTATCGGTAAATTTAGGTTTAGACTTAAAAAGGTTACAAAAAAGAATAGTACAGTGGAACCTCGATTATCCGTCTCTCTATTAAAAAAATGTCAGGGTCCATACGTAAGTTATATTGACAACATAAGTAAACATTTAGTCATCAATTCATTTTGTTTGCAAAAAATTTTCCACCAAAGACGATTCTCATTTTGGATAATGCATCTGCCCATCATAAAGCCGATATGCTGCGCAGTGACGATAAAAATATCACGTACTCTTTTCTGCCTGTGAATACAACATCATTGATACAATCAATGGATCATCCGGTCATTAAAACATTCAAAAGAAGATAGAGAAAAAAATTTATTCAAAACCTAGTTATGGAAGAGTAATATTCTTTGCCAGAATACTGGAAAGCATACAATTTAAAACACGCAGTCGAAAATGCTGTGGATGCTTGGGCTGATGTTTCGGAAGTAACGCTGAAAAGAGCGTGGAATAAATTATGGCCTGAATCAACCCCCTTGATGAAAATGCTCCCCTTAAATGAAGTTACGGCTGAATCAACTGTTTTGTTTTCATTGCCTAAAGGCCGTATGATACTATGTATTTTCTTGTATCATTTCTTATATCGTTTCTGATATAACAAAAAATGGATAGTGTAATACAAGCGTATAGTTTCTTATATCAGAAACGATAAACTCCATTCGCTTAGCTCGGCCATATTTTGAGATTCATTGTCGAAAACCTACAACACAATAATTTCTACTTCTCGGTATTAATAGCTCAAGCAAACTACTATTGCAGACTTCTTTTTTTGAAAAAAAGAAGAATTATTCTAAATAGTGGAAGTGTATACTAAACCTATCACATTTTGCGTAGTATATATTTAAAAAATATATTTTAGTTGTTATAATTTAACATAACTTTTTATTATATGGGCAAATAAATAAATATTGATTGTCGGTAATTCGCAAAGTTCTATTTTACTTCTACTACTTAGTTCTACTATTTAGTTAGTTTACTATTAATATTGGCTATGAGCACGTGAACTTGGTTGTATAGTAATTTCCAGCCCCTTTTAGTCTGTCAAAGAGTAACTAACTTCGCAAAAAAAGAATAATTACTAAATTCACTAGACAATTCGGACTGGGAATAGCGAACCGGATATACAAGAATTTGTGTCCGCTGCATTTTCTTGTAAAAAAATTGCGCCAATTTGTGCGTAAAGCCGCAAAAACAAAAACTTCTGTCATATTGGCGACTGGAAGAGAACTTTGATATATAATTAGACCAAGCAGACATCAGAGAAAAGTGCCCACCAACAATAACCAAGATTAGAACATCAGTAGCCAAATTGAAAAACAATAAATCACAGGGATTAGATCAAATAGCATCGAAACTACGGAAAGTAGGAGGAGATGATTTACTAAAAACAATAGATAATCGCTCTAAAAATTCGTGATGAGTGAAAGATTATTTTATATCTTCAAATAAGAAAGTAGAATTTCAAGAGCATGCCATTTAAACACACAATTAAAAAAAAACAAATAAATTATTACGACCAAATTATTTATTATTTCTGTCTTCCATTACATCCTGTTGAATATCTTCAAAAATTGTGCTTTCCAATTTAGTTTTAATATTGGGACATTTTGTTTCTTTCATTTTTCCAGCACAGTATTTTAAAAGCTAATCAGTAGCATATGTCCTCAGTCCCCAGTAGCTTGGGGTCCTCAGGTACTGCAGTTCTATTTTTATAGGTGTCAAAATTTCGACCAATCATGTGCCAAATCACATACAATTTCCGGTAAAAGAACTTGAATAGTGTTATACAGGGTAAAAATGTACGTGCAAGAAACGAAACAAGAAAACATAAATAACTTTCTATATCAGAAACGATATAAGAAATGATACAGGAAAATGCATAGTGCCATACGGTCTTAAAGATGACATAAACGAATGGTTAATTTGTGATGTGTAACAGAGGCGAACGAAACTGATTCAGAAGCTGACAAAGACTTTGAAGGTGGCGATGTTGATGATGTTATTACAACTCTCAAAGATTTGCGTAAAGCATTTTAGAGATTTTAAAACATAAAATCATCAAATCTAGCTTGATTGAGAATTCAGCCGTTGCAAAATGTGAAGTAACAATAAAACAAACACAGATTTCGGAATAATTTAAATGAAATTCATTCGACTGTACTAACATAAATCCCTCTTATATTGTCAAATAAAACATACAAATAAAATTTAAGAGTTACACTATGAATTTTTTTTAATGTTCTGTTAACCGTCTTTTCGATTATCCGTCATACCCTTGGTCCGGTGTCCTGATGGATAATCGAGGTTCCACTGTAACAAAAAATGTGATATGAGAAGACTAAAAAATAAGAAAACAAAAAGACAGTCGCACGGATTCTTTCAGAACAGCTAGGTAACATGGACCAAACATATAATCCAGAAGAATCGTTCCAGAATAGATGTGATACCTTTAACAAGATTAGAGAAGAATATCTAATAGAAAATAAAGAGAAAAGGAAAGTTGGATGAATGACAATATACTATAAGTCATGGAAGAAAGAAGAAAATCGAAGAACAACAAAAGAATGTACAACTGTCTTTTTTTTAAATTAGCAATCTTCAGTTTTTAAATCTCTGGCGGCCATTGCGTCTATTTTTCGAAATTTTTTGAGCATATATTTCTGGCTTCTCTGCAGGTGTCCAAGCCAGTTTAGTCGTTTGGCTTCAATTGTATCTATTATGTCTAGATCAATTTTCATTTCTTTCCGAATATCTTCGTTTCTTAGCCTATCTAATGAGCCGATAATATCGTCTCCACTAGTTCACTTCCATGACATTAATCTCTGATTTATTTGGGGTTAATTAAGTACTCCATTTTTTATATATTAATTATAAGGAACCCCCATTATAACATTAATTGTAAGGTTCCACTTGGTGTACTTACTCTTCTTCCAGTTTTCTAAGCAAATAGTCTCGTCTTAAGCTAGAATGGTTTGTTCGTCAGCGAAGTGTATCGTGTACAATATCTCGTCTTCGATTGGGAACAGTGTAGGTGCTATGCAGCAGCCTTGCTTAGACCCTTACTCATAGGAATTTCTCTAGTTAATTTGTTTCCAGTTTTAATATTTATCGTTGTATCTGTAAAGCTTTTGTACTGCTTATATATATTTTTTTGTTTATTCCTTACTTTTCACAGAGCATTAAATATTGTATGCCTTCGGCAGATTTATATAGACTATATGAGTTGAAAGATTATGGGCTAATCTTTTTTCAGAATTTTATAGCTGTTAAAATAATCTTGAATTCTTGCCAATTTAGTTATCAGTCCACCAAATCAGTCGATACTATCGCTTAACTAATTTGAGCCGAGCAACCATGTGTCTACTAGTTACATTTCAAACACCAGTCACCTTGTATGTATAGTTAAAACTTTGTACAGTTTTATAATTTGCAATGTACACTAATAAAGTTAGCTAGCTTGATAAATAATCAACAATTTCTCAATACACGTTTTACACAAGGGAAACTCGGTAAAAGTTAGAGCCTTGTTTAGTAATGTATTGTAATTGTATATACCA